TTAAAAATCAAATTCATTGGTAATTACCTGATTATAGCCCCTGCAATGCCCACAAAGCCATGAGGTAAGATAAGAATTGTACTACATGTGTAACTACTCGGTATTTATGTAGCCAGGGAGATTCATGCCTGTATGTGGTGAAGAAGGTGGGTTTTTTACTCCTGGGTGTGGCATATATGTATTTGTTTGTGTTGAGTAGAAGGCAAATCTTGAGTAAGTTTATGGGATGTAGGAGATATGTTCAAGAATGTGGACAGGCTTCCTCTTCTGGGTCTAGGTAGGACGGCTCAAGGTTCCTGTCCCCAACTGTTCAGCTTCTCCTTATGTGGGAGACAGAATTCTGTCTCCAGAGCTATAATGTCACCTGCAGGTTAAGTTTAGATAATGAGTTGTGAATGACAATGAATGAAGAATGGTTGTCCCTTCTGTTTTTCTGGCAGTAGGAATGAGGATCCTAATGATGACAGGAAGGAGACTGAAGGGTATCATGCATCTAGAGAATGATCAAGCATTAAGCCACCTCCATGTAGAATGAATGTGTATCTGTAAGTTAGTGCAAGCTGGTTACTGGAAAGTTGCTGGTGATATGGCTTGATACTAAGGCACTGGAAGTTCCTGCCTCTGGGGYGCTGCTTGCTTTGTAAAGAGAGATTTCAGAGGCTGTAGTGCAATAAGAAGCATGCATGAGAAGAAGAGGGTCAGGTGTCAYCTCACCTGAAATTTGTTTGCAGTTTAGGCTGAAGCTGTTTTGGGGTTTACCTCTGCATTTGATAAGAGGCTGAAAGCCAACTGCAACATAATCCATTGTCTTCTGCTCCATCACTGTGCTGTGTCCATCCACAATTAGATACAAATGGAGCTTTCTCACACAGCACTCTCTCACCAGGTTATGAAGATGCTGCTGCTTTGAATCTGATGCCCCGTGTTTGGAGTTGCATTGACCTACATCAAAAAACAAATAACCCCCCCCCAAACCAGACCACAGTTGATGCAATTAATTTAGTCTGTCTAGGTGTTTGCTTCACTTCTGACGTTTACACAAGGCTCTTTCATGTCCTGGGGATAGTATTATCCCATGTAAGTATATAATGCTGTTGGTGTTAGATCCTCCATTTTCTATTCACTGTAATTTTAAGTAATATTCACCAGACCTCACWTGCAGGGAATGGTCACAGCTGTGGGTGTGTCTGCGTGGGAATATGCGCTCCTCCATTCGGGCTGTTCTGCTGCTGCACGTCTGTCACTAAGCCAGCAGAATGGCTGTCACATTGACCCAAGTCTGTCAGTCTCCCGGGTGTTTCAAACCAAGTGCCTGGCTGAGAGGGAAAGAAGAAAAGTGTTGATTCTGCATGGTAAAACCCAGACAGGGAGACAGAGAAGAGCAGCACAGTCCAAAGGTGGATGAAAGCAGCTGGGTAGAAAAAAAAAAAAACACTAGAGCAAGGAAAATGTCACTTTCACAAAGCTACATTTCATGAAATGGAATTCTATGTGTTTATATGTTACCACATGACAGAAATCACACACCATGCGAGACTCACACAAGATGGTCATGCAAAATGAAGAATCCTTAAATCCTTTATGGAAGGAAATACAAGATGAGTTCCTAGGGCATGTGATTCTTCCAGGCCCACTCAAGTTTTCCCTAGCTTTTTCAGTGTCAGGGAAGGTGCACTCTGAAGAACACTACTAGTTTGAACTTAACATAGGTTCCTATAGCTTGTTCTATGCAACTAGATAAAGATATTGCTGCTAAATAAAGCTGCTGTTCAGTTTTCAGGCCCTGTGGAGGAGTTGGTAATATTTTTTGTGATGCATCAAATGTGACCTATGAATGTTCCCTAATCTACAGCAGTGTAACTTCGATGGTATGTGCTGGGGTGGAGGGCTGACTTTTCAGGGTATCGGATGAGGGGTGCTCTTCTCCTCCATCCTGCCAGTGCCACTCGGATGAGCCCATCAGAGCAATGAGATGTGTACAGGGAATGCTAAGCACATGCAAATATGCACAATAATAATAATAATAATAATAATAATGTTGAAGATGGGAAATGAATAATTTCTCTAAATCAAGCTTTGGCAGGATTCAGATGGAAAGTATGTAATTAAACCAAGCTGGAATTTGATCAAAATACTGGAATGATACTACAGGAAAAAAAAAAAAAACCCCACAACCTTCCTCTCCCTCCAAAAAAAAAAAAAGAAAGAAAAAGATGACAATTATTTAAGTAGGAAAGACTGGCTTTATATTGCATCCAGAAAGACGACACCAGGAAAGATCAGAGAATATCCCTCCAGCTCTTATATGCTTTTCCCATGGAGAATTGCTTTCCAGGGCTATCCATCAGTTCTGGAAGGGAGGCAGGACAAAGACTCTTGGGTTTGAGCCTGAGCAGACAGCAGGAAGGTGGCTGGCTGGGCTGAGCCCAGACATGCTGCTCCTGTGGGCACCGGGGTCAGGACAGAGATTGCAGGCACATTTTAGCGCTGGTTCTATTGAACATGCAATGATTGCTTATACCGGCCTGCTCTGAACAGGCCTCACCTTTGCTTAACTTGGAAGTACCAGTGCAGATGTTTTATTAAAGTCCTATGACATTTTTTAGAAGGACAGGTGGCAAGGATCTTCAGTCCATCATGAATCTCAAGGACAAATTTGCTGCTTCTTGAAGACTCAAAATTGCCACTGACTTCCCTGGCTAGTAATCGTCACCTGCCCCTGCTAGAGGATATAATAAATTAGCCAGAGACAGCCTATTGCTGTTAGGTGGACAAGGGCTGAACTTTGGCTGCGTGTTTGTGGAGCTCAGTGCACAGTTAACCTGGCACAATTCACTGGGCCACAGTTCACTGTAAATCCTTACACAACAAATGGACTGTAATCTGTACATTTCAGTGACCATTGAAAGGCAATCCAAAGAAGAAGTGGAGTGTCAAGACTTCAGACTGCAGCACAGCTCTTTTGGAAGGCTGCAAGATGAAAGGAAAATAGACGAAGTGCTGAGCTGCTTGTGTGAGGTGGCTGTGCGGAGGCAGGGCCTAGTCAGGCAGGCCATGGCTGCGTGGGTTTGTGGGGAGAAGGAGAGATCTGGGGTTTATTCCTCTATTGGGAATACAGGAGATGGAAGAACATTGCCAGCTGCATAACATACCTGCAGTCAAGAGCACTGGGTATCATCCCTACTCCTTTTTGTTTTAATTCCCATAAAAGAGGCATGTTGCTTAAAACAGAGTTTTATTCTCTGTGAGCTTAATATTCCTGCACATTTGACCCTATGAAAGCCAGAGTGTGAATCTGCCACGCTGGTGAGTGTGTGAGGAAGGGTTTTCCAGTTGCGAGTGTGCAGTGTGAGACTTCCTGAGCAAGGAAGAGCTTGAAGAGGAAGTCACCGTGAAATGCCATGAAGCCTGATCCCCAGTAGTGTGAAGGTAAATGGTATTATGGGAATTTCTAGCAGCTGGGACCCCGTCCCTTGGACTCAGGTGCTAATATGCCATAGTCTAAGGCTGTGTGACTTCCCACGCTTCCTACATCTGCAGCTGTGTTCTGTGAGTCTGAGAGAAATTAGTGGGAATGAAGCTGTTGGTGCTATGGGACAAACAACGAAACAGCAGCTCAGTTCCCCACTGATTACCTTGATATCCCAGAATGGGAGCTGAGGGGATTTGCTCTCGTGGCTTTCATTAACTGATGTGTCATTTAGGCCTGGAGAATGCAGGAACATTTGGCCACAATCTTTGCTGAAATTACTGAGAGGGGAAACCTGTAACAAGAGCCCTGTTTGTGCCCCCTGCACTGTGCCTTGGTGGGCTGGTGTTTGGACTCACCATGCTTAAAGTGCTACAAATGGGAGCCAGACGTGGTTTAAGGTAATTTGTTTCTGGTCTGGGCTCTGTTTGGACTCACCATGCTTAAGTTCTACGAATGGGAGCCAGACATGGTTTAAGGTAATTTGTTTCTGGTTTGTGATCGGGCAAGTATACCTGTATTAGAAGAAATAGATGAAGAATACCTCTATTTTCTGAGAATCAAAAGTATTAATAACTCCCTCAGATGCAATTTGGAGGCAAACGAATAGCTACTTCTTTTTTATTTTTATTTTTATTTTTATTTTTATTTTTATTTTTATTTTTATTTTTATTTTTATTTTTATTTTTATTTTTATTTTTATTTTTATTTTTTTTCCCAAATTGGGGAGTGTTATTTCAGTGTACAGAGATTAGGACACCATATGAATTAAAACAAAAGCAGTTTATTTGCATTTCGTTCCTGAGATGAGACACTCATCTAGTTGTGACTATGTGGCAACAAGAATTCTAAACTGTGCAGTAGGGCTTAATCTTTGGGCTTTTATGCTTCTGCAAAATGGCTTTCATATAGAAACATTTTCTTCTTACCTACAGCTGAAATTTGCTGCCATGGCAACCTCCTGAATTTGGAGGGTCGGGGTGCTCTAGGCAAATGTGTGGCCTCTGAAATCATTATCCAAATTGGATTTCATTTCTCTCCTCCTCTTGCACTGGGCAGCACCTCACATAACCAGACCAGAGGGAGGCCAATATGGATTTAAACTCTCTTTTTCTTTCTTTGAATGAAAGAGTATTCGGTGCAATTTATTTCCTTATTCAACTGGCTCCGTCTTTACCTAGCTCTGAGCCTGCCGGGCTCACTAGGACCATGTTGTGCTGGAGTGCCTGTGAAAGCCCCTTTGTTGCTGGGGAAACACAAAAACCTTGAATTAGGGTCTCAGCAACTCAGCATCATAAAATTGGTTGCTCATTTATTGGCTTTAATATAAACCTATTTTTTATTTTGTTTTGTTTGACATCTGTGTCTGGGAATGACTTGGGACCTGTAATAGTCTTTTTTTTTCTTTTGTATATTTGAAGGGGAAAGAAAAAAACTGACATAAATGTGCATTAAGACTTTAGCAAATAAAATGATTAAAACTGCCGAGAACCCACAATGTTATGTCAATGCAATATTATTTAAGTGAGATGTCACCGTGTTGATCACTTAACTTGTAATTACTATTTTCCATTTTATGTATTAAACCACTTCCCACTGCTTACCCATGTTYTTTTGCTGTATTTTAGGTTGTAAGAAAAAAGGAGGAGTTTATGATTAAAGCTCTGGACAAAGACTGTGTAGACTGAAGTTGCTATTAGTGTAGTACTTGCTCTGCCACAAACTCCTGAGATGACGCTGGTGAGTCACTGTACTCCTTTATGCCTCATGTGCTTGTCTGCAGACAGCACAGCACAGTCTTTCTTCTCATCCTTTTGCTCTTTGGCTATACAGCATGGCAGTCACTGGAGTTGCTTCTTATTCTGCACAGATTTTAAATGAAGCTTCATGGTGCAACTGTAATAATAAATAATTAGAGGGAGTTTGGTAATAAGCAAGGCGGTGACCCTACTTGTTTCTTTCCTGTTTGAGAAGCTCCTCGCCTGCCACAGCAGCTGTCATTAATGAAGTATATCCACTTCCATCTTTCCCCTATGATTTCCATATCTCAGTCATAAGTAGATTTTTTAGAAAGCAAACAAGCAGTTGGCCCATACGTTATGCTAAGGCCCCATTATCTTGGGATCAGTGTGTGTATTTGAACATGCTGGAAGTACATCTTTAAGAATAAAAGCCCTGAGGGGGAGATTACAGACATAAATGTTTATCTTCTGAGCTTTCTGAGATGGTATTTAGCCCCATGAACTGCCTGACATAGCCAAAATTGTTTGTGAAGGATGCTGTTAATGAACCTCATTTGGCTCCTTCTGAATTGGCAGGAAGCATTCAGTGGACACTGGAGATACTGCAAAGCCTCCTCATGAAGCATAACAGCAAGGCAGTAATGGTAGGACGCACACATATGCTATTCTACTGCCAACCCTTACCCGCCCTTCTCAAGGGTAAAACACTTCTTTTGTAAGTCTGGTGAAAACTTATAGGCCTCAGAGTCATTGGTGGGCAGAGGGAAGTCTCCTTTATGGCAGTTTGAGCACGAAGTCCACGTCTTGGCACGTAGCACATGAGGCTGAGCTGACTGTAAATATGTAGCCTTCCACCATGCTGTTGTGTTAATAGGGCCTGAGGGCAGAAAGCAGCATTTTGGAGACTTCACAGTACAGAAGAATGGCAGGGCATGAAATAGCTGTGTTCACAGGTTGCCGTCCACTATCTCACTCTGTTTATACCATCCTTTCTTTGCCAAGGGAGGCAGAGCCTCAAAGAGGAAAAGGACATGGTGTGCTGAGGCTGCAGTAACCTTTGTGGTATTTCATACATCCTTTCCCTTTTCTGCTATATGTTTTCTTCCTTTCATCTTGCTTTGGGTGGAATCATGGCTCACCAACAGACTGTATGTATTCCTCACTGAATGTGAGGAAAAGTACCTCACATTCAGATTACTACAGGCATATCCCCCAAATTACGAGTTTCCCTTGTGTCTGTAAACTGGGTAAGGGAATTCATAAGAATATTTTTTTCTCACCAGAGGCACCTTTCCTTCAGGTGTATTGCATACACGACAGAGGTGGCTCCTCCAAAGGGAGCATCTACCAATCAAACAGAAATTTTAAGTTAGCCAGGGAAGTGAAAAGCAATGATTACGCAAGTTACCTCATCTTTTTCAAGTCGCTGAAATTGTATTGGGGCTCAGACTGGCAAGGGGGATGAGTAGAGGCTCTGCTGGGTGCTGTTGCATTTAAACAAATTGATCTTCTCCCCAGAGTTCTCTCTCTTTGTGTGCAGGCAAACCATGTGTGTTTGCAAGAGACAGTATGCTTGTGTTTCTCCCACGACCCTGCTGGATCATTAGTGTTATTTCTGGAGGTCTTGTTTCCACAGTAACAAGCAATTACCATTGTTCCTTGGACTGCCAAAGTTACCACCAGCAACGCAGAGGAAGATGCGTTATTCTCTATATTGGGATAAAATGCCTTCATATGTCTTGCTATTCACTGAATGCCAATCCTGACGCAGGTCCTGTGCAAATAGCACACTCCACCCCCTACCAATGCTGCTTTTACTGGTATGAAGACATGCCAAATTCTCAAACAATCCAGACCGATCTTCTCTGGGCTGTGGCAGCGCAGGGTCAGGATTTCAGCAGCAGGGTGACTGTGCCAATGGTAGCTCTGGTAGGAATATAAATAGAATAGCTTGGAGGCAGTTCTTACTGCATTGTGCTTAGCCCTGTTCTAAGTAATGCTGGATGGTGACGTCAGTAAAATGCTCTCTCCATATTTACCGTATAGCTTGTACAAGTGGTGGAGCTGCAGCTCCAGCAGAGGAGTCTGGTGGTCTCATGCTAGCAGGATGCTGAACTGTCTGTATTTCACACTGCCTTCATCATCCCCCAAGGGGCAAAGTGGAWTCATCTTTTCCAATCATTTCTTCCATCAGTGGCCTCTCCTTTCCCTTTTACCTTTATGCTTAGATAGATACAGCTAAAATGGGCTCTAAGCTCTACAAAATATACCCTAAATTTCAGATGCTTGTCAGACAAAAGATGCAGCAGCTGGGAAACTGAGGGAGGATGAGCTTTGGTAAATGAGAGAAAYAGGATAGTGGGAACTCAGGGAAGTGGCTGGATTAGGTGTCAAGACTCAGAAGGTTTTTATGGTTTTCAGGGATTCCAGTTTCCAAGTGCAGTTCCATATTTTAAAAAGCTCCAGGACCAAGTTATGAACTTTGACCTCATCTTAACAGATTTTTCTCTTGAACASGTGTGTATGTATCTACATTTACACACACCCATTTACCTGACTAAGGATAAGGAGAGGTGTTGGGGGGAGGACATGGCCTATAGCTTCCATAAATGAAAGCACAGAGAAGTACAAGTTTTGATGCAAAATGGCTGAAGCAAAGAGATTAAGAAAGACTTTCTAAAACTGGCAAAAACCTCTGCAAAACAGGCTTCTGTCTTGGAAATACTTATCTAAGAGTTTTTTTAATCCTACATTCAGCAGAGAAGGTTGAGCACAGTTCTGAGGGTGAGTTTTTACCTATTCTGTTTATTATTTGACTGTAACATGAAGTCTTTCTTTGGAAGGCAACAGTAAAATTCTTCACACAGGCGACTGAGCTCAATCTGAACTGAACAGAAAGGCTGCTGCTTCCTGTGCTTTGACAGCTGCCAAAATTGCACAGCTTTAGTTGCCTTCGAGAAAATAGAAGTCCAACAGCAAATACACATTCTCCTGTTGGAAATGCAAGAAGGCATTGGCAGAAATAATTGGTGACAGAATCCTTGAGTCTTTGGCTGGCTCAAGTCCCACCTTGTCTATGAAATGAAGGAGTTAAGCACCAGTGGGCAAGAATGTTCCTGCATATCATTGTATCTTTTCTAGAGGGCAGGCCTGATTTTTAAGTGTCTCTCCAATAAGCAGGAATTGAAGTGTTAAAAAGTCCTTAAGTTGTTTTTGGCAGCTGACTGTGGACTAAAAGCAGTGCTCTAAGGCAAGCTTAAGAAGATATTCTTGGGCCTGGGAGAGTTTTCTTGGAGGAAGCAATACTACGAAATCCATCAAGCTTCTCTTATCCTGGTCTTTTGTGTTGCAACCTCCTAAAGCCTTGGCTTTTAACATAGTCTGTATGGAGAGAAAAAAAATGTTCTCTGAAAGAAAACCAGAACTTGCTGTTTGAGGTCAGGGTGACTGCATACACGACATGAGTGTCACATGATGGGCTGATACTCGCTTTTGTATTGTACATATTCCAGTTCCCCCCAAAAAGCAAATTTCTGTTCTTTAAGCTTCAGCATCCACTACCATCCCACATTTTCATCCAAAAAGTTTAGCAGCCAGGGTGGCATGTCGACCTTGCCAACAGACACTAGGTGGAGGCCTTGGGCTGCAGTTTCACTATAGAGAGTGAAGGCACTAAGARCAGATCACTTGGCTTTGGGAAGGGAGACCTTTTGCTCTCCTTCGTGCTTGCACATGATAGAAAGGAAAGTCTGAGTTCTCCAGGTGCAGAATGAGATGAGTGGAGGGATGGAAACCTATCTGTCCCATCCAAAGTCTTCTCTACTACAGGATTTTGTGAGCAGGGCAGTGGTGAGATTTTTTTCTAGTTCCTAGATGTGATTGGGTTGGAAGATGCATTTAATTTATCCAGACTTTATTTACCTTCATTCATATATCCCAATTGGGATAATTTTGAGAACTACCAAAATAGCTATAAAAAATACTAACTTGAACTGAAAATGAGTACTGAGAAAAACTGGAGCTTGATCTGGTTTGTCTAGCGACAAATGCTGGTAGAGCCAACCAAGATGAAGTGCATGCTATATTTATGAGGATTGCTTCAGACAAAGCCTTAAAATTATTCCAAATAGGGAGATTAAGAATTAGTAAAAAGAATGAATCATAGGTTAAGTGAGAACTAGCTGAAATTCAAAAAGTACATTTTGAAGGAAATTTCAAAAATTATTTTAAAGGTTATTATTCTTAATGGTAAAAATGCTGTTTTCAATTACTTCCTAAGAACTGAACACTATGAACAATTCAATTAGATGATTTTTTTAAAAGCTGACATTTTCCTTTGAAATGTAGTTAAAATTTGATACAGTTTCACATGTCTGTTGTAGTGAAGAATTATGTTATACCAAATCAAGTCTCATAAGAGGGCATGTTATGCAATCCTACCAGTGATCCTAGCATACTGTGAATTTCATAATTAAATATTCTGTTATGTAATTTAGTACAAGTAATCTTTTGTTTTATTTTCAAAACCATTAAGTGATTTTGCTACCAAGTAATAATTAATGAATTTTCTACAAAAAGTGGTACAAGCTTTATTGGTCTTTGCTGAATGAAATAATTGAGATTTTTGCATGCTGAAGAAGAAGTAAGAAAAAAACCATTCTGGATACTATTTAAGGATCCATTTTTTTTTTTAAATATCCCCGAAACCTGATTCTAGGCTAATAGCAGCATATAGAAAAGAGTGTACAGAATATAGAAAAATATATTTGAAGTTCCTTGTCCATGGAGATTTTTCATTCACTTTCATTTTGGGAAAAAATGTTGATTTTATCCAAATAGTATTTGCTGGTTGAAAACTGTTTCGATTAAAATTTTCACACTAATGTGAGCTGTTATGACATTCTCCTCCTCCACCCTCTGAGATGTGGTAAAAGGGTGAGTGAAGTTATTGATTTCTCTTTCCTTTTTTTTTAATGCAGTGACTTCGAGAGCTCCAAAGCTGTTCTGCAGACAGATGCACAATTGTGAAATATCAATATGGACTGCAAATCTCTAATGTTAGTGAGCTCCTTTTCTCCACTGTACAATGTAAACCCTATCTCCGCAATGCTGTACAGATACACATTTGCAAAGATGTTTTTCTGGAGATGCCATGCATGACATACCCGCTTTTACTTGTTCTCATTTCTAACAACATTATATGGGGTTTCAGTTCTCTGTGTTCAGCCTCCTACCACTTAAATATAGCCAACTCTGAGCTGCAGCTATTGAACATCACACAAGCAACACCACAAAACTTAGTGGAGAAAGCAAAGAAATTCAGAGAAAGGCAACAATGAGTGAGGACAGCATGGGTTGTTTGGGAAGTGATATCAAAGCATTATAGGGAATGAGCAGTGGTTAATAGAGATGCAGAATTGCCATCACCTTGATATTCAAGAGATACCAGAACCTAAAGCAGAGCTCATGAGGATGGCACAAAGAAGTATCACTATGAGCAGTCAGTTTACAGGAAGGGAGATTAGCAGGTAAGCTTCCCTAAATAGTAAGTTTTGTTAGACTGTCAGAGTCCCAAGGAAAGAATAGGAGGCATCATTGCTTGAATGGCTTGAATTTCAGCTTTGGGCTGAAAGTAGCCAAAACGTTGAGACAGTATCAAGCAATAGCAGAGCAGGTGAATAACAAGAGTTGAATGAATCTATAGAAAAAGGTAGAAGAAAGATAAAGGTCTGAAGGAACCTTATGTTCCTTAAAGGAAGTTAGAAAAGAGCGTGAACTGGTTTGATGAGAGCTGGGACATGGCAAGGGAAAAGTTTTCAGAGCTTTCCTTTTACAACATGATGACCTTAGTCTAGGAAAGGAGGAAGAAGAGGAAGACCAGACAGAGGAAAGGAAAAAYGTGTGTGAAGGTAAGTAGTAATATATGTGAGTGTGGCACAAAAGGAGGAGTGGTTTGGAAAAAGCATTTTTGGTGACTGTCTCATTTTGCTCAGAGACTGCTGGCTGGAAGAGAACACCATGGTGGAAGAGGCTGCACATGAATTCTTGCTGCTTTAGGTAAAGTGATGTGGAGGGAAGATTGCCAGACACTGTTACTGCACATTCAATGAACAAACAAGAAGCAACCGCAAAAGTCTGTTCACAACGCAAGTTGCATAGCAACACTAAATTGTCAGATTGCTGTTATGGCAGTTCCTTACATTATTCCCAATATTAGAACCCTTTGTAGGAATCACACAGTATGATGTTACAAGCTGACTTCCAATGTGGCTGTTTGATCTTTGTCCCTTGCTGAATGATGTCATGTAATTTTCTGCAATGATGTTTCATAGTGGTACACYTGAAACAAAAAGTCTTGGGGGATCCATCAACACAAGTCTCAGGGAGAAAGGAATGTGACTGTGCAGGGTGCAACCAGTGAGGCAGATCAGGCAGGAGAACAAACCTTCAAGAAGTTTAGATGCAGAGGAACTCACCAGGACATATGTTACCTTTGGAACCTCTCTGTATTGAGCCTACTTATCCAGCTGAAAAAATATTTAGAGGGTGCAGGTGCTGATATGATCTGTTTGAAACTCTTCCAGGTCACTCTTGTGGTCCATGTCTATAGTGAAATCCTAACTTCCAGTCAGCCATTTCCTGCTGTACAGTGTAAGCACCTTGTGAGCTGTCTCTTGGCTGAATAGTAGCTCCAGATGTTGACCAGAAGGCAATTACGATATCACTATGCTGTGATGTACTACCAGTGTCTGAAACAACACATGTAGGTCTATTTGCCTAGTGGAATGCTGCTAGTGCTCTATATACTTTCTTTCCTGGATGTCTTGCATAACATAGCATCCTCCTCTCTGTTTCATTCTGATGCTGTTTCTTTCATCGAAGCAAGTTTACATTTCATTGAAATGTTTCTGCCATCTCTTTTTGCATCCAAGGCAACCATGGTCACTGGGTGCCAAGGTGCGGCTGAAATTTTAAGGTTGTGAATAAATTGCTGTTGTGACAAACTTAGACTGACACAAGCTTGGGATATGAGGTAGAATAGAAATGTGCTTACAGGCCTTTTGCACTGTGTGATGGGATCTCTCAGGGTGACCTGCTTAAGCTAGCAATGTATCGCCTTTCTGAAGATTCCCAGGCTCTAAACTATACCAGCTTTTTCAAGATCATTACTGCAAATTATGAACAAGCAAATAGACTTGAGAAAGACAAGATAGACTGCCTGTCCTTTCTGGACAGAATAATGGAATTATTCTGCTCCATTAAAGCACCTGATAAGGAAACAAACAGCTTCAGGAAACACTTCCTCTCTGTTCTTATTCTCAGAAGCGAGAGGACACCAATGGCCTAATACCCTGACTAGATGTTTCAAGTCACTTTTGGTTGGTATTAAGAGAATCAGGCTTGGACAAACTATAACTCAGTAGGTGATAAATGTCCATGCATTACACTTCTATGATGATCTGATGACCTTGGAGTTCTCCTTGACAAATGAATATCCTCTCTAATGCTCAGCAGTCATTTGCAAAGGAGCAAAAGATATATGCCTGACTTTTTGCTTTCCTTCCTTGAGTATCTCCCATGGAGAAGATCTACTGGATAGGACATTCCAAAGAGCTTACTTTTCTTTCTGGAAGAGTCTCCTCTCTGTCTGTGTTCTGGATTTCTCTTGCCTCCCCCTGAGGATAAGGTATTTGAGCCCTTCAAAATGGTAAGAGGTGTTGGAGTGGTCACTTCTGAAATCCAGCTTTGTAGAAACAGAAATTTACTTATTCTCCCAGAGACCACTATCAGGAAGGAATTTCCAAGCGCTATGCAGAACAAACAAGTTTTGATGCTTCTGCACRTATTTTCTGACATCATGGTTACTTTGGTGAAGCAGTTGATCCTGAGTTTTAGGCTGCCTTAACTGAAGACTTCTATACCACCTTGCTGCCATCCAAAGAAACAGAAACAAAAGACAGTTCCACTGGGCTGGTTCTTATATGAGTATTTTCTTTTGAACTTGGTCTTCTAGTAATTGGTGGAGATAGAGGGTCCCATTTGTCATGGGTCTTCATTGCTGCCTGGAGAATGATTCTTTTATTAGACCTTATGTTGTGGTTAGAACTCTTAAAAATTTCTCCTTGCACATTTCAGTGAGTCTYAGGCTCCATGCCTTGCAGGGAACCATCTTTGCAGTGTCTCTGCTTTATTTGACAGTTGAGTTGCCTATGACCTCTTGAGGATAACTTTCCCAGATTAAAAAGCGCTGAAAAAGGGTCAATGGAGAAGTTCAAAAGAAGTGTGTAAATAGGCAGGTTTCAAAGAAGATCTTCCTCTGTCAGCATTGTCTGCATGCGTGCTCATTTTTTATAAACATTCAAAGGCTCGAATTTCCTGGCACTAGTAGACACAGAAAACAAATGTCAAGGCTGCACATAACTACTCTCCATAAATTAATATGAAACATGCACACAGACATTTCATCTGTAAGTGCTCATACATTCTTCTTGTCAGGAAACAGAATAAATAAAAATCCTACCACCTGTATGTCCTGAAATACTTTACAAAGAAAGCCAAGATCATCACCTCCAATTTAGCAGATGGGGCAGGGTTTCTTGATTCAAGAACATTTTTGGGTAGTGAAATAGCAGTAGTTAGCTACTTCTGTAGCTAATCTGCAGAGGAGGTTGAGGACATACACATTTGTTTTCTTTTTCTTCGGTCCTCGACTACCTTTTTAAAAGGAATCATTCATCCTTTCATTTACTGCTCAGGGCACTGGGTGCTTCATCACCACCAAGCACAGGTTGCAGTCCATTCTTGCTATGCCTGTGTACTTACTTGCATGTGTTTTCTTTCTTCCTCTCTCCTTTCCCTTGCAGGTATTCTCTACTTTTCTTCCTTCAGGTCACCTCTGCTCCACCTTTGGGGCTCCTCACTGCTGATGATCCCCCCCGATACCTCTTCTGGGCCAGCTGAAGTCTCTGCAGAGCTCGCTTGTTTCTGGCTTTGGCTTTACTGTACATATCYCACTGGCCTGTCCTTTTCTCAAGGAAGGAATCACTCTTCAGGGTTTTAAGAAGAAAATTAGTAGTTTTGAGTCCTCTCTCTACTTTCTTTTGTTGGTTTTCATCTTGATGCTCCCTAGACTGTGCAGAGATGCAGGACACACCAGGAAGTATATTGTCTCCTGCTAAGAAAGACTTTGATAAYGAGTCTTAAAAGGTTCCCTGGTGAGAATAGGCTTGGTAGTGGCTCTAAGAAATGAAATATAGTTAGAAGAGACTTGATCAAAGTGTCTAAAGTAACATATAGCAGAAAAGGTCTGTCAGGACCACCTTTTCTTTTAAAAACAGATAAAGGGCTATTCAAGGAAAAGTTGGCACATTCTGTACTCAGGTACTTCACATGATGGTAATTAAACCATGAGGTGTATTGCTACTGGATGTTTTAGAGGCTGTWTACTAAAGTAAACAAAAATACTAGTAGCTCTATAGAGTAAGTCAGTTTCTATACCCCTGCAAAATAAAATATTCCCTGAGCTACCTTCTAAAACTTCTTGCCAGACCCCTGAGGATGCTCCCAACCATTCCCATCCCTGTCCCTGCCYACCCACAGGCCTCAGGCCCAGCCCCAGCATTCGTTGTGGGTTGTGTCAGYCTCTGTCAGCTGCTCTGTGTATGTCATTTTTGCCAGGCTTTATTATCACGTGCAATGGCCAACAACATTTTTTAAATGAACKATTACCTCACAATGTACGATTTTTATCTACAGCAAGAGTTAATACATACTAGGATACAAAAATGGCTGCAGTAAGTCATTTTATCGATRAAGTTCTTCTTAAAAGTGATCATTGTTAGAAATCATTGATCTTCCTCTTGTCCTCTTAGTCAGACAATATCACAGCTCCAAAATGGGAAGCCTTGCTGTGTGAATAGAGATACACAGATCAATATCCCTACTTGTGGAGGCAAATGAAAATGAGGTACAAAGGTAGCCTTCCATAAACCTGGTAGCAGGAGTGGTTTGAAGGCAAGCATCAAATGTGATGGCGGTTGATGAAAAAAGTGAAATGAAAAAAAAAGTGTGTATGCATATTTTTGACTTGAACCTCCTTTGATTTGGAGCTTAAGGATTATTATTTTGAGGATAATTTAAACATTTTCTTG